TCATGAAGCTAGTCACTAGTGAGCAGAGTTTTGGAGGTTTGTGTTTTTATACATTTGAAATCGTCAATTAATCTGCAGATCAACCAGACTTAGACGTAAACAACACTGGATGCTGGCCCAGTGGTTTGGTGGTTAGGCGTTCGCGCACAATACCGAAGGTTCCGGGTTCGAATCCTGCGACAATCTGGACTCGTGGATGCACACTGCTGATAAGTCCCACACCAGGACGAAACGGCCGTCCAATGCTTCCTGGTTTCCAATGGTGGTCTAACAATGATTGGTTGACGTTTTCAAATGTGTTAAAACACAAACCTTCAAAAACTCTGCCCGAAAAGAACTAATAATTATTTGAAAAAAGTTGTTTTAGGTATGATTTGAAATAAAATTGTAAACTTGGAAATTTATTGTATTATTGAAAAATATGATTTCTTAAAAGATAATTACTAAAATAGATAAATATTTATATCATAATTTATAGTGTGTCAATTGTTAAGATGTTCATCAAATATCCTATAAAGAATTATTTTTTAAGTGTGAATTCTATTGGTCGATTCCTATTGGTCAATATTTACGGTCGTCCTAACTATCAATGTCACATATTTCAATGTTGTCTCCTATTGGTCGTACTATCTGTCAATGTCACTTCAAATGATGTTTCCCTATTGGACGTGTTAACTGTCAATATCACAGACTTCAATGTTGTTTCTTATTCGACCTAACTGTATAAATACGCATTATCTGTACCGTTTAATAGCCAGGACACGAATCCATAGTTCACGATCCTGATTCTCTTCTGGATTCGGACCTCGTACTTTTTGGATGCTTGTAGAATACATGTTCTACTACATATCAAGTCTTCTTCTTTTATTCAATCGAGGTTGGGACTATCGGATCCTAGACCCTCGCTCTGATTTTCCGCCTAAGGTAAACTCGTAATAGTTCATACATATCAAATTGACCTGTTTACGTGCTTACTTAACAATAATACAACATGATTTCGAAAAATAAGTAAGATATTTTTTTCAGATATTTAAAAGAATTTACAATAGTAATGTATGGAATTTCTTTGTTAATTAAATCCTAAATTTACATGGAAAATTCAGTGATAAAATTTTAATAGAAGCTTTAAATTCGACATAAGGCTCACCAGTTTAGTGGGCTGCGATCTGACTCCATTTTGAACGAACAGTCGAATATACTATGAAATAATTTCTGCATATTATTTCTAGGTAAAACCCGTATGTGAGCTGAATATGGATTCATTTGGATGAGTTTATTTCATACAAATTGTTCACGCAGACAGATATGAGAATGAAGAGTGTATAAGCAAAGCTAAGCGACGTGAAGAGGGCGAATATTCCAACTCAATGCAATCAGGTATGACGACATATTTACAATCAGGCAAAATGTTATGCTCGTCACTTGCTATGCTTGAAACTATTAACGGGTGTTCACTTTGGTCGATAAATGAGAACGAGACAATGAACCGTGTGCGAGTAGGCTACTTTGATCCGTTGACCCACAGGAACTGGCGTAAAATCTTGATATTGCGTAGAAAGTATATTCTACAACACCCAACAATCACACTACAATCAAGCATACAACTCTCGTTTATTTATACATCATAGAAACGTCCTTCGGAGAGTCGCAAAAATAGCACACTAAAATGACACAGTAACCAATCACAGACCAGGATTTTCCTGGTGGGAAATGTGATCTCAAGGCCAACTGATCAGCCCATGCTCGCAAACCTGAAATCCGAAATCAAGACATTTATCAAGCGAGTTCTGAGGATCTGACATCCCCAACACAAAATAAGCCGAACGAGTAATTAAAAAAGTAAGCCTGTGCACACACAGAGTCAAATAAAAACTATCAAGGTAATGAGTGAATAATTGACAAGATTGAAAAACATGTGAATAACTTGAAAAGAATGGAGGAATTAATTGCTGTCCAAAGGCTGGGACAAACCTTTATGGACTCAACATATTTTTACACACACACACACCACAAACTATTTATTTAATCACTTTCAAAGAGCAGAAGAACAACATTAAAAGAGTTGCTTATGAATGAACATGTGTGTATATTTAAATCCTTATCGGATGCTGTCTCAGTCAAAGGTGGAGTAATTCAAGGTTGTGTCACAAATCCTTTGCTATTTTTAGTTGATATGTTGGGGATGTTAGATCCCTGGAATTCGCTTGATAAATATCCTTATTTTACATTTATTTCATGGACCGATCAGTAGACCATAAGATCACATTTCCCACTAGGAAAATCCATGGCTGTGATTGGTTACTGTGTCATTTTAGTGTGCTATTTTTGTGACTGTCGCAAGGACGTCTCTACGGTGTATAAATAAACGCAATTAAAGTGCTTGGAATGATTGTGTGCTGGCTGAGTGTTTGTAGAATAGACTTTCAACGTTATATCAAGGCTTCTTGCTGGTACAATTGGGCCAAGGGATCACAGTAGCCTACCTGGACGCTGGTTCATTGTCTCGTTCTCGTTATTCGACTAAGGTGAACTCGTAATAGTTTAAGCATACCTAGAGACCAGCGTAATATGATATAAATGACATTTGTAATTGCTTCTATGTAAGTAAGCCTCTTCTATAAACATATGATCGTGAAATAGTAACCTGGCACTCAGGTCAATCAGCAATCAACAAACACATAGACATTGATCCCATTTATCAAACAATCAGAAAAATGATAGACAAACGCAGTATCAAGAAACGGATCAAAGGGTGATACAATCAAAATAAATGTGCAAACAACGACAGGTTTAAGGTCAATAGCAACCAATCAAGGTCGAGGTTAACAGAAAAAGCTACGGGCCAAACGTAGAGAAGTTCGAATACTTCACTTCCATTTGAAGTTTGTGCTGATGATGTTGTTTAGAGGAGCAATAAAAGCTCCATTACCAAAACATCTAGCCCAGAGGATGAACCTCCACCACTACCATCCAACTGAGCTACAAATTTTCTCCACCATCTCAAAATCGAATTTCTAACACATAAATTTTTGATTTTCATTTTAGAGTTGTGAAGACTGTTGAGTTTTATTGGAATCATAAATCAATTATTCTTAGACCAACATCAGAAACCCAGAAGCACTGAACGGACATTTCGTCCTAATATGGAATTCATTAGTGCCCACTAGTGACTAGGTTTGTGCGTGAATTCTTAGAGTTCCAGTGAGAAGTCGTGACTTGTGGAGCTCAGCCCTTCCGGGTGTAAGCAGTAATTACCGAAGACAATGGGTGAGGTTGCGCAGTACCTGGGATCGACTAAAGTTAGACGTTAACACTGTTGGGTGCCAGCTCAATGGTCCAGAGGTAAAGCGTTCGCACACGACACCGGAGGTCCTGGGTCCCATAGCCGCGTTTCCAAGTTTCTAATGGTGGTCTAACAATAATCGGTTCATGAGTGCAACATAAATTTGTATTTGTATTCTCATATAAAATATATCTGTTTATATTTTGTGTCTTTTGCGTGTTTTTCGTTTTTTTTTTGACTTGTTTCAACAACTTCATGTCGAATAAACAAATCAAACCATTTTCTAAATAATTGATTATATCCTTAGACATGTACACAGTGTATAGTTTAACATGATTTTAACTGAAAAATTCGAATTATTGATACAATATCGCCTAGGCAACGGATACTAGATAATAGTGATAATCTTTTAGCAAAAACGAATAATTTTGATATCAGACAGTTACACTTTTCAGGTGTGGACCTTCAAACAGGAGACACGCTTGTTGATATAGAGTATGCTGATGACATAGTCCTATTCGGTGAAGACGATGACAAAATGCCAAGTCTTCTGACTACCCCAAGCAACATATTCGAGATGCGATTTTCCTCCTCGAAATCGTTTGCAATGAGGCAGGTGCATCCACTCGTTGTGTTCTCTCAAACTCTAATCGTCAAAATTCCTCATCATTTCTATCGTTCTTTTTCTAAATTTATCTTACTAAATTATACTTCTCGAATCATATCTTCATTGCCTAATCTTCTCCATTGCTGCTAATTCTTCTGCTATTTCAACCACTATGGGATTTGAACTGACAGTTGCGTCTCAGTGCTAATGCAGTATGGTAACCTGAACTGATGTCCTTACGTACGAACTTCTGCGTTGTATCTGTCTGTCTGTCTGCACACTAGAATAACACATCAACCAATCACAGCCAAGGATTTTTCTGGTGGGAAGTGTGTTCTCAAGGTCAACTGATCAGCTCATGAATAAAATCCGAAATAAAGACATTTATCAAGCGAATTCTGGGGATCTAACATCCCCGACACTACTGACAATCCATCTAATTTGGCTTTATATTAGTAATCACAGTTCAATCAACTAACATCTTTGACAAATACAGAAAACTATAATAATGAAACGAGTCATGAATAAAATCATCACTTGGAATAAACACTATACTGTTCTCCATTTTCATACTTTTTCCTTGATACGAGATAATTAAAAAATAGAAATTGTGAGTCAATCATCGTTAGACCATCATCAGGCACCTCGATTCATTGGACAGCTGTTTCACCATTTTAGTATGAGATTCTGCAGCAGTGTGCATCCGCAACTCGCGCTACTCTCAGGGATCGAACCCAGAACTTTCGGTTTCACATGTAAACACTTAGCCTCTAGACTACTGTGCCAGCATCGAACAGTGTTACATTCTAACTGTGATCCATCCACGGTCTTGTGCAACCTGATCATCCACTGTCTTCAGTGAGCATTACTTCACACCCGACAAAGTTAAACATCACTGAACAATCGATTCACTATTCGCATAAAAAACAACAATCTCCCCGTCTGTAGCCCTCCTACCGTTCCTAAGCCCAGAGGAAAAAGCAAGAGGGTTGAGCGTGGATTCAGTGACTCCTAACCAGAAAACACAATTTAAACCATAACTCTATACAATGAATTAAAATGAATAACTTTGGTCACAAAAGAAATAGAACATTCAAAGAAAAGACTTACTTCAGCGGAACCTAATGCATCAGCTGTTGGACTAGGTTTACGTACAATGGTCTCGGCAGAAATCACTAATAATCCATGATTATCATCATCGGAATTGATTGTCGTCTCAACAGCCGGTTGATTATTTACATGTGTAACTGATTCTTGTTGAGTAGTATCCAGTGATAATGAGACACCAGCTAATTTAGCAGTATTTTCATTCTATGAAATTTAAAAGTTTTTTTTAGAAAAAAAGCAAGTACGTAAAATTATTGAAATATTGAAGTTTTTGTTGCTAGAGTAATAAGATCACGCATCATCATTAATCAATGAATAAGACTTTCAGCTGGACATCCTGGACTGCACAGATGATCAAGTTCTTGTATCCCAAAACGCAAGAAGGAAATTCAGGAGAAGATAACAAGTGTTGACAGCAGCCTCTGTAGTAATAGGTCTCAATATGCACAAAGGAAAAAGCGAAGTCCTATGAAACAATACAACATGCTCTAACTGAATCATACTTGATGGAGAAGCTTCGAAGGATGTAGAAACTTTTACATAACTGGGCAATGCGATTGATAAGCAAGGTGGGTCTGCTGCAGGTGTGAAGGGATGGATTGGCAAAGCCAAGACAGCATTTCTACAGGAACTTAAAACAACTCCCAACTAATATCAAGATCACACTCCTTCAGTACACACGTCAAGAAAGTTCTACTGCATGAAGTGGAAACTTGAAGAACCACGAAAGCTATCGTATGGAGGATGCAGATGTTTATTACCATTTGTCTACCCAAGATACTAAGGTTTCGTTGGTCAGACACAATCAACGACAACCTACTATGGGATAGAAGTAACCAGATTCCAACAGAGGAGGAAATCAGAAAGAAGTGGTGGAGATGGATAGGATAGTCCAGAGGTTAAGCATTAGCGCGTAAGACCAAAGTTCCTGGGTTCGATTCCTGCGAGCAGTGGTAGTCATGGATACGCACTGCTGATAAGGATGGTGAAACAGCCATCCAGCGCTTACCAGTTTTTAATGGCGGTCTAAAATGGATCGATTCATGATTTCAAAAGTTACTCAACAATCTCCACAACCATATATTACAAACTAGAAAATATCTGCTGATAAACGAAGACATTATTTGTTCTGAATATATCCAAATTCATAAAGTACAAGTAATTGGAAGTCTTCTTATTGTAATATTTTTGTCACGTACATATGTATGTATATTTTGGGGATGTTAGATCCCCGAAATTCGCTTGATAAATGCCTTATTTTGGTTTTCACGTTTGCCAGCATGCGCTGATCAGTTGACCTTGAGATTTCAATTCCAACATCCATGGCTCTGATTGGCTGCTGTGTATTTTAGTTTGCTATTTTCTTAACTGTCTCAAGGACGTTCTTATGTTGTATAAATAAACGAGAGTTGTATGCTTGATTGTATTGTGTGATTGCTGGGTGTTTGTAGAATATACTTTCTACGCTTACCAAGACTTCTGTTTTCAAGGTAGCCTACCTGGACGCTGGTAATTGTCTCGTTCGCGTTTATCGACTAAGGTAAACTCGTAATAGCCTCAAGCATACTTAGTGACGAGCGTAACAGTGTACGTGCCTATATTTATCAAAAAGTTTTGAATGTATTTAGATGAAATCAGAAAACATAAAGAATATGTACTTATGTATGGCTGTGGAGATTGTTTAGTCACTTTATTGAAACTGTGAATCGATGATTAGTGAGAAACCTAGAAGCACTTGACAGCCGTCTTGCCATCCTACTACGGAACCGGTCAACATATGCATCAACGAGTCCCAACTACTCACATGAATCAAACCCAGGAACTTCGATCTTGTACACAAACGCCTATCCGCTGGACCATCAAGCCGACAGGCCCGTATCCACCGGTGTTAATGTCTCATTTTGATCAAATCTAAGATAGGTAACTGCTCTGCACCCGACACGTGGATCGATCAAAGTCAGATATTTTACAGTGATCATTTGAATTGGAACAATTAAAAATTCAGTTGTTACTCTCCAGATTCGAACCTAGGACCTGCTAGTTCTTGTGCATAGGAAACATAGATTAAAAGCATAAAATTGACTCATAGACAAAGACATAAAGTGTCAATATTCATGGAAAGAACGTACTGAATCATTGTGAAACCCAAAAATAAAATATGAGAAAGAAAATAAGTAGAGAAGAGACAAGAGAAAAATAATCAATTAAAGCTTTGGAGATTTGTGTTTTTTTTAACCATTTGAAATCATCAATCAATCATTGTTAGACCACACCATTAGAAACATGAAAGCACTGAAAGATGGCCGTTTTGTGAGGTCACACAAAATCCGTAGATTAATCAGAGTTAGACATTAACACCGTTGGATGCCGGCCCAATGGTCAGATGGTTAGGCGTTTGCGCTCAGTACCCAAATGTCTCGGGTTAGAATCGTTCGAGGTGCAGGAGTCGTGCATGCGCACTGCCACTGATAAGTAGTCCCATACACTGGGATGAAACGGCCGCACTTTCAGTGCTTCCAGGTTTTTAATGATGGTGGTCTAACAATGATTGATCAGTGATTTCAAATGTGTAAAAACATAAACCTCTAAAAACTCTGCCCGAAAATATCGTAACAATGCTCACTAATGACTTGTTTCGTGAGGAAATTCTAGGAGTTCTAGTGAGAGAAGACGTGACCAATGGAGTTCAACCCTGTCGGGTGTAGGCAGTAACTACCAAAGACAAATAGTTGAGGTGGCGAAAAATCCATAGATCAATCAGAGTTAGACGATGAACACCACTGGATTCCGGCCCAGTGGTCCGATGGTTAGGCGTTCGCGCACAATACCCAAAGGTCCTCGGTTCGAACGACTGCGAGATGCATGATTTGTCGATACTCACTGCCAGTGATGAGTAGTCCCATACCAGGCAGGACGAAACGGTCGCACTTTCAATGCTTCTAGATTTCTAATGATGATGCGGTCTAACCACAATGATTGATTGATGATTTCAAATTAATTAACTTAATTAATTAATTAATTAATTAGAATGAACTTAAATGTTCTAATCACAATTTTTTTTTTGAATGAGAGTAAGTGAGTGAGCGAGTGAGTTTCTTCTTGTTGTTCTTAAAAAAAACCTCATGTTTTTGATATTTTGATCTTGTTTTTATTTTAATTATGAGATAATAAAAAAAAATAAATTAAAAGAGGAGGACGACGACGATACAAGATGATTTCATCAATAGATGGGATAGAATCGAATTCACATGAGAATAAGTGTAGGCAAAGATAATCCCTTATATTGAATTGTGATTGAGGAAAATAACTTAGAAAAAAAAATAATAAGGAAATTTTTTTTTGTACTTTGAAGTGAAATAGTCCTATTTTAAAAAAAGGAAAAAATAAGAAAAGAATTAGGTCATTTGTAATGAGATTTTTTAGTTAAGTAAGCATGAAAAAAGAAACTAGATGAAAACGTGTGTGTTTGATCGATAATAAAAAGAAAAGAATGGAACTCAAATCTATGAAGACACTCATCATAATAAAAGAAACATACATTTTTGCTTATGATATTGATTGGAAATTATTGTTATATTGACGAAAGGTCAACGTATATGATAAAGTAAATTTAGGATGCTTGAGTTTAGGCTATATACATTTTGTATGATGGGTCGATCTGCCTCGACGAGCTGTGTTTTGTGGTGTGGGTTTAGGGTGGAAGAAACCGAGAGGCAGCCAAACCAAAACATGGCAGAAATCCATGAAGTCACTGACAAGTGAACTGAGTCATGTTGGTAGATGTAAGCTTTCTGGTTTGAGTCCGTGAGACGAAAGTCACCAATGGTCAGAGATCTTGAACAACATGGCTCAAAATCATTTGCAATGGCTTAGGTGCATCCATTCTTTGTGTGCTTTTTAATTCTAACCTTATGAATTCCTCATAATGTCTATCTTTCTCCTTCCAAATTTATCACACTGAATTATACTTCTCGAATCATTTCTTCGCTCCCTAATCTTCTCTATTACTGCTAATACTTCTACTATCGAGATCACTCTTGGATTTGAACTGACAGTTGCATCTCTGTGTTGAACTGATGTACTTACGTACGAAGTTCCACGTTCTATCTGTCTGTCTATAATAAAATAATGATAATCTAACCAATTTATTCAAAATATGAAGCCGATATAATAAAGTTTATTAGGTGGCCTGTCACTGCCCATATAGTGTACGATAGTAAGGTCGAAGACTGTAAACCTGAATCATTCACATGAAATTCAACAAATCA